TATATAGCCCTTTAGATTATAGTCTGCTAGGCTACACAACAGCGAGGCTGTTAGCTCAGAGATAGAGCACTTGTGTAGCATGTGCAAGGTTCTAGGCTTGGTCCTCAGCATCACATACACACACAGACTGAAACATCACTACATAAGTATCTAAAGTCATAGCTGTGTATTTTAACGATGAAAGCATATGCAAGTGACTGAATTATGCTTGCTGAGAAGACCATAGAAGATGGTCAATTTTTACTTTCAGAGCCAAATGAAATGCCTGTGGCCCCAGGAATGCTAAGGTTAAATAAGAAACTACATAGGAATTTCTATGGGAACTGGTGTCTCCACCAAGGCCAGGGATTCAGTATCACAGAGAGCTCCAAGAGACATTTTGGTCACTCAGGAACATTATACCTCCATCATATGAACTTCTAGCAGCAGCTACAGAAAGAGCACACGCGGTGTGGCTGTGAAATGTTAGAGCTTAAGGACGAAACAGGGCGGCACAGGTACACACGACGGACGTTAGTGCACAGCGCATATCAAAAGCCAGCTCCAACAGTCTGTATGGGACAAACTACCATGCTGCTCACTTAACTGAGGGTAACATGTGCACTGAGGACAATGTGTGATCCAGGGGAAATTCAAGGATCAACACATGTGAATCTGAAACATTTTATTTTGAAAGTTAATGTTATAAATTGGGAGCAAATATTTAGTGTTTTTAATAGGTTCTTTCTTTTGAAGATGTCTTCCACCAGTGCTTATTGGTACTATTATGATAAACTTTATAGGAATGGGACAAGTCATCTTAAAAATAATTTCCATTATTATTCATGACACTTGTGCGTGTCCTGTTCATCACTAACACCTTTGGTTAGAAGGGCTGTAAGTGGCTCCATGGAATCCAGACACTGAGATGTTTCCCTGTATCTGCTGGACTCCAGTACTCAACTTCTTAGGAAACAGATCTGATGGCTGTATGTATGTATGTATGTATGTATGTAGATGCTGGAGATTAAACCCAGAGTCTGGTACACACTAAGCAAGCAGCATACCAATGAGGTACATCCTATCCCAGACTTGATGTTTTAATTTTAATGAGTTTTCATTTCAATGCCTATCTCCTAACTGTCCAAACAGAGAAGAAGCCATGACTGAGAAAGTTATGTCTTATACTTTCATTCATTAATTTGTATGTCCGGAAAACAGAACATTTTTATGTTCAAATTCTGTAAGAAAAATATCAGGCCTGCAAGTCACAGCTAACATTTGAAGGTGGCCATCAGTGAAGTTCCAAGGACTACATGGGAGAGATGGCAGGGCTTTCTGACTCAGACCCTTGGGATTCTGACTCAAAAGAGAAAGGTCAGCTAACCAACCAGCCTCAGAATGGGAGAGTTTGGAAGTATTTACAAACACTGCCTACTCATAGTTCCTAATCTAAACAGAGTAGAGCCGCACAGGAAAGGAGACAGTGACAGTGGGTGAGAAGAATGAGTTTACAGAGCATGATTATTCTCTGTGACTTTTGCATATTTCTCTTTATAGCTCATACAATTTCTGTTTTATGATTGACTGTTGCTATTAGAATAATTCACGCATGAATAGTCACAATTGCTTTATCTTATGAATTAAATGCTTTGGCATCATAAAAAGAAATGAATTAACAACATCAAGATATTAGTATTAAGATATTGAGATACATGGGGACATATATGTATATATATGTACTTATATTGCTATATACATATATGTGTGTGTGAATGTATATTTATACACATATTTGAGGAGTGGCTGTGTGTGGTATGTGTATATATGTGTATGTATATATGCTCACTTGTGCTTGTATGTACAGAGACTAGACAAGATGTCAAGTGTTTTTCTCTATTGCTCTCTGCCTTATTCTTGTGAGACAGGATCTCTCAATGACCCTGAAGTTCACTGTTTTAGCTAGGCTAGCTAGCCACTGAACTCCTGGGATCCACCTGATTGAACCCCCAACTTGTACCCATGTCCAGCTTTTTTACTTGGTTACTGGGAGTTTGAATTCAGGTCCTCATGCTTACAAAGCAAGCATACTTACATACTGAGTAAGCCATTTTTCTAGTCCCCCACCCCCGTTTTATGATTTATTTTTATTTTTTTTTAAAGATAGGATCTCATGTAGTTCATGCTGGCCTCAAATTCACTTATCCTTTTGTTCAAGTATGGGCTAGAGATGTCACCAGCATATCTGGCAATCCCGTGAATAAGATCAATTATTCTGACTCTAAAGGAGTGACGGCATGTGCCTACAGTTCTAAATACTAGGGAAGATGAGGTGGGAGAATTACTTGAGCTCAAAACAAAACACTTGAGAAACCCTGTCTCGAAAAACCAAAAAAAAAAAAAAACAAAAAAAAAACACTCAAACCATACGAGACACAAAAATAAAAAAAACCACATTTGAAAATGCAATGGGACTAAAGAATACTAATGAGTTAAATACAACCCTCTTTGCTTTAGTGACTTGGTTGTTGATAACAGACGCTGTTCTGTACTCCTACCCAGGCTCCTCATTTGCTCACCTATCAGCTTCGCTCTACAGTGATTCCTTTGAATGTCCGCTTACACAGAACTGGAGTATGAATTGCTAGCCCCATGTCAGAGCTGGGCTGCATCTCGGCTGTGCCTGGAGGACCTCATCAGAGAATCCTCTGCAAGCTGTCTGGCTGTGTCTCTCCGTGAATGACCGTCAAAGTCAAATCGCATGTCAGGCAAGAACTTGTTCCACCGAGATGGAAACATTAAGCTGCATCAGGAGCTTTGAGGATGTGGGCTGGCTTCCATTTTTGTTCATATGGTAGGTTCGGGAGGGCACTGAGTTACCAGCAAGGAATTTTCAAAAAGTCAGTTCTTCAAGGAGGCAGCTTGGGAGAAGTGTGAAATCAGATACACTAGCATCAGCAGTTGTCCCATGTCTTGCCAAATGCAATGAGAGGCAAATCCACTCTGAAGCCTAATGGTAACCGTTGTCGGTCCTAAAGTTCTGAAAGGTTTTGTGATAAGTTGCTTGACTTGGGTAGTTGGTTTAAAATGTTCAGGAAAATAAAAAAAAAATGGATGTGTTTTTAAAGGGACAGAATGCAGCATACGGACACAGACAGAGGTTTCCTGTTCCGCCAGAGTTTCGGCTGGGATCTGAGACCCAACACGGGAAATGCACCATCTTGTACAATAACCTATGCCGAGTCACCATAGAAATGCAGAGCCTATCTTTTACAAAACATTAATCTTTAAAATAATGCACATAGTAAGCAATACAAGTTATGGCGTGGTTCCTCTTCCAAAGACATACAATGTGGAAGCAAGACAGACAACAAAAGCAGGTACACAGGCAAACAGAAGGATCATGTGATCATCTTAGTTGGGGACATCAGGAAACCTTTATTCCTATTCTCCTTCTGACTTCAATTTAAAAAAACGAAACAAAAACTTCACATTCTTTGGTGGCCAGAAAGGAACTTTACTACAAAATAATGGTCCTGAGAGCTGACTACCGAATCCTTCTGTAGCCAAAGGAACAAGGCACAACTGAAACAGATTTGATAGACAGAATTCAAAGAAACAGAATTGTGAGAAGAATCTAACAACTTTCCCAAGGCTGTGAAACTCATGATCACTGATCAGACCCCAGGCTCAGCAAGAAAGTCAACACCAGCCTTTCTAATCCTGGGAAGCACGAAGATTAAGGCAACCTCCAGACTAATATTTAGAAGCTCCTAAATTTTACTTTAAAAGACAGTATTTTATATTTGAAAGACATTTGGAAATTCAACATTAATTTCTGAACACTCAAAATTCTCAAAGTTAAGGATACTGACTCCCAATTAATGGAAAACGCCACACTACTAATGCCAAAAGTGCTGTTTATAATTTTGTCTATGAATCCCACTTAAATTTAAATTTTATTTTATGGGTATGAGTATTTTGTATGCATGCATGCTCATGTATGTGCATGCCTTGTACCCTCTGAGACCAGAAGAAGGCATCAGATCTCTCCTGGGACTGGAGTTACAGATAGCTGTGAGCCACTGTGTGGTTGTTAGAAATCCAACCAGAGTCCTCTGAAGAGCAGCCAGTTCTAGTAATTGCTGAGCCATCTCTCCAGCTCCCCACTTAAATTTTATATAATAATAAATTTCAAGTTTGCTTTAGGAACACCCTCCTCTTAAACACGATTGGACTGAGATATTGTGAGCCACCTGATATGGGTGCTGGGAATTAAGTTCAGTGAACTCACTATGTAGCTGAGGATGACTCTGATTCCTAATCTTCCTGCCTCTGTCCTTGGGCTGGGATTACAGGTGTCAGTCACCACTGACCCCAGCAGAAACATGACTTTTTCTTGTTTCTTTTTGTTTGAGGCAGGGTCTCACCATGTAAGGTAGCCTTGGCTGGCTTCTTCTATCCTTGTGCCTCTACCTCTGAAGTCAAGGCCTTTTTGCAAGAGCCCATGATCAGCAATCAGGAGACACAGCCCTGGGCTGGTAGGAATGGATCCTTTATCTGGAGGCAGTGCTCCTTCAAAATCATTTTAGCTTTTCCTGATGTATGAGACCTAGGCAAGTTAGTATTCGCGAGTGTGCTCTCCCTATGCTGATAAATACTAAAATCTAACAGGTACCCTTTCTTTAAGTATAAGAGGACATCTGGCTAGATCTTTTCCTTCACATGTAGGTGATGTGTTTTTTTCTAAAATCCTGTGCAGAACCCTGACAGAATGTCTTTAGCTGCATAGTGAGGATGGTAGTGGTACAATGATCCTAGAAAAAACACAGCAAAACCTGGCACAGAGAGACACAAAAGCACCCCATCCCCCCATGACTCAGCAGCCTAGCCACCACACACACACACACACACACACACACACACACACACACACACACCCCACACAGATCAAGAGAGAAGCAAAGCACTGGTCATGTGCCCATTAGACTCACACAAGTGTGGCCCTTCCTGTGACCCACCTGCTGTGTCCCTGTATGTCCCCCAGCTCCTTCTGCAGCCTGGCATTCTTCTCCTCCTCCTCCAACAACCTCCTCTTCACAGTTCGCAGCTCCTGTTGAGCCTCACACTTGATGTCATTGGCCACCACCACTGCAGTCTGCAGGTCCGCCTGGAACCGCCTCCATTCCTCAGTTTCCTCCTAAAAAATGACAGAATCCACATGTCCCTCAGATACTGGGCAGGGAGCTGGGGTCTCTATGTATGGGCTCCCGAATCCTAGTATCAGCCACTAAGAAAGAGGATTACGCAGAAAGATGTGGCTTTAACGGTGTCCCACTACTTGGAAGAGGCACAAGAGGTAACTCCTTGGTGTTACAGAGTTCTGCAACTAAAAACTGATTGCTTTAGTTTCCTATCCAGCCAGAAAGGATATACAACTCAGATTTATGGCCTCAAGAGATTCTAGGACAATGGCTCTCAACTTGTGGGCTGTGATGCTTTGGGGGGTTGTATATCAGACATTTATGATTCATAACAGTGGCAAAATTACCGTTATAAAGTAGCAGTAAAATAATGCTGTGGTTGGGGGTCATCATAACATGAGGAACTGTATTAAGGGCTTGCAGCAACAGGAAGGTTGAGAATCATTGCTCTGGAAGAAGCTGGCTGGGTAAAATGGCAGGGTGTTTTCCCAGTGTTTCAGACCTAAGACAGGAATAATGTCCAATAAGATGATAGAAAAAGTTCCTGGTCAAGGCTTACCTTTATCTGTTTTGTCAGGGTCTTCAACTGCCGTTCTAGGTCTGATTTCTGTTCCTCCAGCTTGATCACACTGCCTAAAAGGAAATGAGTTAGACAGGAGTTAGAAAGTTGCAAGGCTCCTGGACAAGATAAGCTGCAAACCAAGAGGACAGTTCTAGAGACAACAGGCTTAAAACCTAACCCTCTCCAGTAAGTTATGTTGTAAGGACTCTAAAAACAGGGCTAGAAGCAGAGTCCTCCATGACAGAATTGGATGGCAATTCTGTGCTTGGGTTATATCCTTAGAAGGTTGTATGCACTGTCATGTAGCACTACGGAAGGAAGTCTCAACAGTCACACAGCTCACACTCTTACCTCGGGCTTCCCTGCCAGTCACGCACAAGCTTCCTGAACAGCCTTTATTACTGAGATTTGGAGGCCTCTGGTGTAAGAGAGTCTACTGGTTATTACTCCTGTGACTTTGAAACTCATTTCTAGAGTCACCACTCCTAATCCTGAGAATCACATGGGACACAGGTGGGCAAGCGTAAGCTCTAGACCCATGGGTTCAGAATCTCTGAAGATAGCCAGGATCTGGGCCCACATATAGAACAAGTCCACAGGTGGCACAACTACCTTTCGATAATTAAGAACTAATTCTGTCTCTTGTTCTCCCTGTCTCCAGCTCTCTCCACACTGCTATGAGCCATTTAAATGTAAGTATCAATACGACAATCACCAAGCAAAAATTCCTAGTGTTTGTCTATTAAGGATATGAATCAAGCCAGCCATAGTGGTACATACTTAAAATCCTAGTCCCTAAGTCACAAAGTACTCTCTCTAAAAAAAAGAAAAAAAGGAAGAAAGGAAGGAAGGAAGGATGGAAGGAAGAAAAGATGGAAGGAAAAAAGAAAAGGAAAGAAAAAGACAGACAGACAGAAATAAAATTTTAATGGGAGGGGGTTGAGGAGCAGGCTATGAATTAGAATCTCCAGAGAAGGCTGGGATCCATACAGTAACGTCCTGCCCAGAGGCTCTGAACCAGCTTTTGAGGTCTGAGGTTTATGTTTAGGATCAATGCCTCAGAGTAAGAAGTCCCCCCCTTCATTTCTTGTTGTTTTGTCTGTCTCTCTCAAGGATCTCATGGGAGGAAAGGATTAATCTAAGGCTGGATTTGAGTGTCCCCGTCTTCCTGACACAAATATACTTTAATAATACCTTGATATCCCTAGCAGGAGTTTAAAAGCTTCTCAGAAGATGGTCCGTGTTATTTTCAGTCTCAGATATATTATGATATAATCACTAGATGTGCGCCTGAAATTTGCTCTGGACATTAATTATACACTGGTTTTCTTGGTGTGTCTGGGCTGACTTTGAAGGATTTAGAGACAATACAACCACATTCTCCACAGTGCTAAATCACAAAGCAAAACAAAACAGAACTTGTCTCCCTTGACCTTATTCTTTATAAAGAGGGTGCTATGTTTGGAAACAGACAATGGCCAGATATTTAACTGCATTCTCAAGAACGACTATTGAGCCTGGGTGACACTGAACGTCAATGCTCTACAGTCCATGACAAAGGCAATGGCACTGCCTCTCTGACATTAGTCTATTAATCCAGGCACAGAGCACACCATCAGCTCCTCTCACAGAAACCATGCTTACTCAACTAGAGAATTCTGGACTGTGGCGTTCAAAGGAAACACAGTGCTGGATTTCTGTAAGCTTCTGGTTGCATTTTTCATCATCTGAAATACTGCTCGTACGTTATAGTTCTGCGAGCCAGAATCCTTGTAAAATAGGCCAGTCCCATAGCATCAGGAACTTCATCTGCCCTGATTTTTTCCCCCAATACCAAACAGGAACTTCTGTAGCTCCCTTACCTATGCAATCTTCTTGCCATAAGTAACCTTTCTCTTATGCCTATGGGTACACAGTGAGAAGGAGTGAACATTTTCCTGGCCCTGGGCTAGGTTATGAAGAATTCCTCTTGTCTCTGGCATTGCAACACTGCCGGCTACTGGCCTTCATTCCGTGAACTTGTAAGACTCCTCCCCACCCATCGATGAAGATGTATCACTGTGCATAGCTGCTATCACCCCAGCACTTGTGTTAGGATTGGAGAAGGACCTTCTCCTCTGTCAGGATACACTGGACTCCTGATAGGTTGACAATGAACTTAAATTCACCATCACAAAAGCTCAGGCCTGACCAAGATTCTCTAACACACCTATTTCTTTTAGTATTTCAAATATCAAAAACCATGAAAAACAAGTACAAAAGTGTTTGTTTGTGGGACAGCATGTAAAAACCACTTGCGGGCTGTTGTTGGCTCAGTGGGTAAAGGCACTTACCATCAAACCTGACAACTCTGAGATTGATCCCTGGGACCCATGTGGTAGAAGGAGAGAATCAATTCCCACAAGCTATCTTCCACACTCAAAATAAATAAAATTTCTAGGAAACAACCTTCCTCAAGACCCAGCAATACCACTTTTGGGTATATATCCAAAGGATGCTCAATCGTGCCACAAGGACATGTGCTCAGCTATGTTCACAGCAGCTTTGTTTGTCATAGCCAGAACTTGAAAACAACCTAGATGCCCCTAGACTGAAGAATGGATAAGGAAAATATGGTACATGTACACAATGGAGTCTACATAGCAGAAAAAATTAACATCTTGAATTTTGCAGGCAAATGGATGGAGCTAGAAAAGATGATTTTGAGTGAGGTAACCCAGATCCAGAAAGACAATTATCACATGTACTCACTCATAAGTGGTTTTTAAAGATAAAGCAAAGAAAACCAACCTACAAATCACAATCCCAGAGAACCTAGACAAAAATGAGGACCCTAAAAGAGACTTACATAGCTCTAATCTACATAGGAAGTAGAAAAAGACAAGATCTCCTGAGTAAATTGGGAGTATGGGGACCTTGGGAAAGGGTTAAAGAGGAGGGGATAGGCAGGAAGGGGAGCAGAGAAAAATGTAGAGCTCAATAAAAATCAATAAAATTTTAAAAAAAGAAAGGCAAAATAAATAAAATTTTAAAAAAATTTTAAGGAAAGAAAAGATACTTGCACACAGTATCAGAATTTAGATCAGAAAGCAGAAGTCTCCTGAGCTGGGTCTCTGCTGGGAACAGAGATTTTTCTGACTTTTTGGCTGACCTTTCACCTCTCTCTGCATATCCCCAAACCAGGAAGGTGTTTCGAGTACCAGTGGGGGGGCGTGGTATGCGTATATTAGTGAGCAGGTGAATTCAGGAATACAGAAACTGTGAGTAATGAGTCTGCTGTGCACACATGGTAGGAAAACTCCTCAGGCAACTAAACAATTAGAAATAATTAGTGCCATACAAAGTTTTATTAATTAAGTCTTGTTACAAAAGCAAAGTTCATTAGATGTAATATTTGATAAGGCTGGCTTGAACAAAAGGAAAGGATATTTAATTAAAAAAAATTTTTTAAATGTCTACCCCCACCCCGGGCAGTGGGGGCACACATGCCTTGGGAGGAAGAGGCAGGCAGATCTCTGTGGGTTCAAGACCAACCTGGTCTACAAAGTGAATTTCAGGGCTGCCAGAGTTATTATATAGAAAAAATCCTGTCTCAAAAAACAAAAACAAAAAACAAAATAAAACAAAAAACAAAAAAAAAAGGAAAAAAAGTCTTCCCCTATTCAAAGCAGTGACGTCATAAAGCCATATACCAATGCCTCTTCAGATACCAAGTGCCATATGAATCTGTGAGAAACCCTACACCGTCCACCAATGGGAAGCACGCCGGACCTGACCACAGGCATGTATTATTTGTTTCACTCTGTGCAGATGACCTAGCTCTCATGCATCAGATTCTGAAGGCAACACACCGCTGACACAAAGGCTGTAAACAATTTATTCTAAATAACACTCTTAAACCCTGAAGGTCATCCTCAGTGAAAAAGCCTCTCATGGTGACAGCTGAATTCAAAGCAGGTTTGGTTGTCTAGTGATGGAGGCCTCGGGATGCTGCACAGGTACACCTAACACTTCCAAAATGTACCTGACCTCCTGCAAGAGCTGCGGTCATCTATCATCTGTCACCCAGATTTTTATTTAATTTCAGAGATTACTGCTTGTCTCACAAGTGTTGTTTGCTGGGAGATTACAGTGATCAAAAGACAGGCTTCCCTGACACCCCAGCTGACACACGTCCTTAGAAGCTCCTCCTGTCACCCACCAGGACAGCATCTGCTACCCCGGTTGCACCTCTCCGGGTCTGACTTCACTTACTTTCCAGCTCACTGATGAGCTGATTGTTGTGTAACTTGACGGCACGGTGCTGTTCCACCTGATCTTCCAATTCAAATATGGTTTCTTTCATGTCTTTGATTTCTGCATCACTCTCTGAAGCTTTCTCTTGTAATTTTAGGCTGGTCCTGCTCAGTTGTTCTGCTTGATGATCACAGACCTCCTTCAGGTAAGAGTAATCTTTTTCCATCTAGAGAACAAGGAACATTGCCAGTTTAGCAACAGCAACAACAACAACAACAAACATTCATATATCTCCAGGAAGACTTGATGGATGCACTGGCATATGCCACTTCTTGCTGTTCTTCAGTCTACAAATGTTAAGAAAGAGACAATGTGTCCAGAGGGCTGGGTTCTGTGCCCCTTTCTACAAGCAGGTGGGGAAAAAACATACTCCTATCATATGTGACTCTTTCTTCCCCTATCAGGGCAGAACAGGGAATCAAGAAATCCTGAGAGGACATCCTAACCTCACATTCGCTATAGAGCAGCGCCCTCTGCTGGTGAGATTCAATGTCCTGGACGCCTGAGCCACAGATAAACTTCAACCTTAGAACACCAGGTTACGGTTACGTTTCTTTGGAAGACACCCTACATAAAAATCTGAGTGCACTAGAAACAGAAAATCATCCAAGCACATTAATTGCATCTGTTCAACTTTAATTAACACACTTAGATGGCAAAAAACAACAAAGCACAGACTTAACAAATTTTGCCACATTTGCTAAATCTTTTAATTCAATAAAACACGTTAATGCTTCAACCTTTTCTTCTATTTCTGCAAGTAACAGGCATTGTTGTAAAGTTAGTGCGTGGTCATTCCTTGAAGGCTTTCCCACACTTATTACATTGTGTTTAAGTCCTTGATAATATATAGACTCATTCTAGGTATTTTGAAACTTTACACAACTGGTTGTATATGTGTGTTGATTTGCAGTATGTAATTTGCCTTTGTCTTTGTCTTGTACTAGACAATGTTTATTATGCTATTTTAATTTTAAATGTTAGTATATGTAGATTGATACACACTACAACAGGTTACTTATGTGTGGCCTGTGCATTTTCACATGTATGTAGGCACATGTGTGGGTGTATGTATACAAGTTTGCATCCATGTTTAAAGGTCAGAGTCTGACATCAGTATCTTCCTTGACCACTCTCTACCATTGATACTGAGGTAAGAGCTCTCCTTGAACCCAGAGCTAGCTAATTCAGCGAACCGAGCTAGCTGGTTTGCTCTGGAGAGTCCCTGTCTCTACACCCTGAGTACTGAGATTAGGCAGGCTACCATGCCTGCCCCATATTTTACCGGGGTGTCAGGGATCCAAATTCTAGTCCTCATACTTCCATAGAAAGGGCTTTATCATCTACTAAGTCATCGCCCCAGCTGTCACTAGATTATTTTAATTATTACATACTGGAAATCCACTGCCATTCTGTTATTATAAAAAATGCTACAATAAACACTGTCCTTTTTCTGTCACAATTTGACATTAGTAATAGGCATATATTTCCTGGACAATATAAGCTTGATATGTAATAGATTTCTTCCTGTTTTTAAAGTCTGGGGTGCAGTCTTCACATCCATTTTTTTCCAATTGCAGTTTTGGCTGGGGACCCTATAGGAACAGGGAGCTGGTCTACTTTATCTACCACAGCACACAGCAAACTTTGAGTCTGGCAGGCTCATGGCTAGACTCCTCAGGCAGAGGCATGTCACCTGGAGCACAGATATACACATGTGACTAGTGGGAAATACTATGAGTGTAATATTTCTGGGGAATATGATGAGGGAAGTGGTTGAGCATCCCGAATGAGGTCTCTGAGTACAGCTGAGACTGCTGACCTTCAGAGATTTTGGTTTTCTTTCCCATACACTGATTCATCATGATCATGGGCACCAAAGAGCAGCAGCATGCATGGGGAGGGAACAGAAGTGCAGACTGTGGTGAATCTACAAATCAATACTGTTGCAAAAGCAGTCACTTCTTCTTGATATAAAATATATCCTCCAAGTCTAATGAAATAGTCAGAAAACTTTGTTGTTTTTGTTTGATTTTAAAGTTTTGGTTGGGTTTTTTTTGTTATTTATTTATTTAGAGATAGGGTCTTGTCTTCATAGCTACATAGTGTCCTGGAGCTCACTATTTTGACCAGGTTGGCCTCAAACTTGCAGAGAGCCACCTGCCTCTGCCTCCTGAATGCAGGGATTAAAGGCATGCACTACATACCCAGCCAAAAAAAACTTTGCTTTTTTTAAAAAGTAATTTTACCATTTCATCTCACAAGGACACTCACTAGATCAAAAGGAAGTTGTTAGTTATGTTCATTTTATAGATTAACAAACATATATAGGGAAATTAGTCAAAAAGAAGAATGTGGGCTGGTGAGATGGTTCAGCAGTTAAGAGCAGATAAGAGATAGTTCAGCTGTTATGAACACATACAGTTCTTCCAGAAGGACCGCAGTGACTCCCAGAACCCACACTGGGTGGTAACTCCAGCTCCAAGGAATCTGATGTCCTCTTCTGGCCTCCACAGGCACATTCACATAAGTGGCACATCTATACTCACAGGCACGCAAACAAACTATTTTAGAAAATTCAGCATGCCAAGCATCAGAGAACAAAGCTCTGTATTTTTATGACCACTAGAGTTCTAAGATGCCTCTTTTTGTGATACTGGCCTCCTCCTGCCCGGCAATGCAAACCTTTGAATTTAGTTTTTCTAATTTGGGAATTACACGATCAGATAGAAACCACTTCCAAGCACTCCAAGCATCTTTCATCTCCAGTCAGATTCAAACAAACAGATTACCTCAGAGAGAGGACATCAAGAGTCCGTCCTGATTCACCAACAACAACCAAACCCGGGTAGCAACCTAGTCAACTGTGATCAGACCAGGCTAGAATCCTAGGACGTGTCACCACCCCCTCCACTGTCCCCTTGTGACAGTGAACTGGGGAAAAGCACGGCTACAGGTCAGTTTCCTTGGAAGTACCTGGAGAACGGCATGTGCACACAGCAAAGTTTTTGAGGCGTGCTCCCGATGCTCACTGTGGGAAAGACATGGAAGCAGGACTGGTAGAAGTGGCTGTCTCACAAGGGCATCCACTGACCCCTCAGGAAGAGGGCTACACCCAGCATTCCCTTTGTTCTGCCTCAGCTGCAAAGGCCTTAGTCTTTATTTTCTCAATGGATTAACCGTGAGAAGCACCACCCAGGGAGGGCCATCTTGGAAGGGGCTCCAGTTGGGTGCTGTCAGCTGCCATATTGATCCCCAACAGTTAGAGAAAAAGAGTACTTTGGTAGAGGGAGTCCTGGGTGCAGATGTTAGAGGGTTATATTGCCATAAAGATTATCTGGAGTCTTTCCTGCAGGAGATGTGTGAATAACTGGCTGTGATGGCTTTAGCACTGGGTGAATGGACTACATGGAACAATAAGTTCTGTAAGGTGAATCTATAGTCTTTAGTTTATTATGGTGAAAAACAGCACAAAGGACATCAAGATGGAGATCAACTATGAACCAAGGCCTTATCATAACACAAACTACCCCCAAGACAGAGAATGCTGAATAAACTGAATAAGAAAACAAATGTATAGCCAATACAACAATATCACCAATGCATAAGGAAGCAGAAGTCCAGTACATTAAAAGTAAAAACACGATGTGAGGTGAAAACGGGGTCTGAACATTTTAGTTTACAACTGTGTTTAGTAGTTTCTGATGGCAAAGACAGCATCTTGGAAAATCAGGCCCGGCCTTTGAGAAACCATTTTATCTTCTACTCAAATAGTCATACACCAGGAACAGAGACCAGGGTGGGCATAAAGCTAGGTTACTGCCATAAATTCTGAATGGATTCTAGCAACATTGAATTTGTTCAGCCAGGAAGGAACACAGGGAGTGGTGCTGCGCAGAGGAGAAGCCTGGCTTGTGAAACCCCTGCTTCTGTTGTCAAGACAGCAGCGTGGAGGCTTTGTTTCCACAGGGCTGGGGATGAACCCAGGGCCTTGTGCATGTCAATACCCTACCACTGTGTAACATGCCCAGCCAGAGTTGGTCATTTTATTAGATTTGGTTATTATGCTGTCCCTTAAATAATTTTGAATACTAAAATAATAATTAAGAATGGAGATCAGTCAAAGATGTTAAGATTCCTCCCTACCCCTTTCTCTTCTTTAAACATTATTTTATGTGTATGGATATTTTGGCTATATGTGTTTCTACACATCACGAACATGACTGGTGCCTGCAGAGATAAAAAAAGGGTATCAGAGCTCCTGGAACTGGAGTTACAGACAGCTGTAAAGACCATGTGGGTGCTGGGAACTGAACTCAGGTCTTCTGGAAGAGCAGCCAGCACTCCTAACTGCTGAGCCTTTGTGCTGGTCCTCACCTCCCTTTTCAATGGTGCCTCCTCCCACAGAGTTAGACATTATAAACATACGAATGTGCATCAGGACATTATCATTACATACATTTTTACTGCTTATAAAGGGAAGGAGGGGCGAAGGAGGTCATGACCTAGGAGGCACGTGGCCTAGAAGTTGAGCAGTCATCGATGTCGCGTCAGTGACCGTACCACAGGAGTTGAGCAAAGCCTTGGTGAGCAGATCTGAATGTTGTTCCTGCTCCCAGGAACTCGCCTCACGCTTCTCTGGATTCTATGTGTCCTCTCAGGAAACAGCACAACCACGCTTCCAGCCACCCAGGCCTGGATCTGTGCAGGGAGTGAAATGCCTCTTTCTGCAATCCCCAATAACAAGTCCGTACTCACCAAACCCTACTATGTCAAACTCCTAATCTAAGTGTCTCTCCATTCCCTGCCCTCCTATTCCCACCTGGTCAGCCTTTGGCTTTCTCATCTGTGGCCAGTTAATCTTTCTCAACTGTAAATGTGGTTCTATAATTATTTTTAAAGATTCCTCAGACCAGGCCAACAAGATGTGGGTGACGTCACCTGCCACCAACCCTGACCTGAGTTTGCTTCAGAAGCTCCACAGAAGAAATAAACCCTGACCTCCACACATAAATTGTGGCACATGCACCCAAAGCAAAATAAATAAATTAAAAATGTAAAAAAAAAACCCAAAAAATCCAAACAAACAAAAACAAAGACTCAAACTAAAAGACTGAACAACAAGACAAGCTGGATTTCATAAAATTAAAATGGCAAAGTATGGCC